TCATCATCATCATCATCATCATCATCATCATCATCTCTCCTTGTGACTGTTCTAATACTGCTGCTTCTCTTGATCTTTATCCCTTCCATCATCTTCTCTTCTCTGAACTGGTAATCTCTTTTCTTTTCTATTGATCTTCATCTCCTTTCCTTTATTACATATGATACCCTCTCCTTTTTATCATACTTGCCCTTCAAATGTCATCTCTATCACCTGATCTTCTCTGTGCTTGGTTACACTTTACGTCCTTGCATCTCCAATGCTGCCTTCATGGACTGCCATCTTTGGACTGCCACATCTTGTCTATTGTTCTTCCATCTTCCCTCCAGCTTTCTTTCTTTATTACTGGCATTCTGGCTTCTTTCTTTCTTTATTACTGGCATTCTGGCTTCTTTCTTTCTTTGTTACTGGCATTCTGGCTTCTTTCTTTCTTTGTTACCGGCATTCTGGCTTCTTTCATCTGCAATATCTGTCAATTGCCACCCAGCATCTGTTACTGACCACCTTGGACATCTGCACTGTGGCATACACCTCTGTTGCCACTGTTATATATATCCCACCATGTCACTGTCTATATACATGGTTCTCTATCACTGCCTCATTCCATTGATTCTTTCTTTATTCTTTCTTTATTCTTTCTTTATTCTTTCTTTATTCTTTCTTTATTCTTTCTTTATTCTTTCTTGATTCTTTCTTTGCAATTGTCTTTGTTCTTCTTGTACTGACTCTTTCTCTGTCCTTCTGGTCTTTGGTCACTGCCAGTCCCTATTCAACTTCACCAGCCTCCATCCACCTCTGTCGTAACCATATAAACTCCTGTACCAGTTCATTCATCTCCTCATTCCCATGCCGCTGCCCAAAAAACTGGGTGACTGCTGCCTGGTTGTTGACATCCACCCCAAATCCCTGTAATCGCTGCTGCCATGCTTGCCGGACATCTGCTGTCCCATGCCCATGGACCATCATTGCAATCATGGATATCATGACACCGCGGTATGTGCATTGACTCTTTTCCTTCCACTGCTGACATATCATCTGTGGTAACCCACACTGGAAACATCCGGAAAATGGTGCATACTTGATATGCCGCCGTACATGTAAAAACCATGGTTTGGCAGCTGTCTGATTGCCATGGGGACACTGGTACAAATCATGCTCTGCAGCCAATCCTCTCTGTGTGCAGTACCAGCACTGGTCCTGCCATATATGGACTTGGGCCTGTAAAAACTCGAGCTGTCGGGATATGGCCTGTTGGGACTGGTCAAAGCTCTGCCGGACTCCTTGGCGCTGGCGGTCTTGCTGTTCAAACTGGTGGATGGCATGCATGGGAATTCTGGCCTGGGACTGCATGGTGGAACTGGTGTGTCCTGGCTGGTTGGTCATGCTGCTTCTTTGTTGGTTGACCACACTGTCTCTTGGATAATTGAATATCCTGTCTCCTGGATAATTTTCTATTCTACCTCTTTGTTGGTTGACCACACTGTCTCTTGGATAATTGAATATCCTGTCTCCTGGGTAATTTTCTATTCTACCTCTTTGTTGGTTGACCACACTGTCTCCTGGATAATTGAATATCCTGTCTCTTGGATAATTTTCTATTCTGCCTCTTTGTTGGTTGACCATGTGGTCTCTTGGCTGGTTGCTTATGCCGACTTCTGGTTGCTTGGCTGGCAATGGGTGTCGTGCTGGTGGATCCCTCGGCCATACACCATGCCAGCCACATGGGATGAATGTGCGGCTTGTAAATCAGCAATATGGCCCATCCACTGCTCTGCTCCCATATTGCTTTCTGCATC